TCCCTGTGGTCCATCATCTCTCTTTTTGTGATGCTGAGCCTTGCTGAGCATCACCACCCTCTTCACCGTGACCTCTGTACAGTAGACTTCTCAAGAGGAACTCACAGGGCAGTTCGTGAGTTCTTACACTTTCAAAACATACACAGCATTGCCAACAGTGACTGTTCGATTGGACATAAAACACCTGTCTCACATTTTCTTTTCTTGACTATCTTAAATATATTCTCCCACATCTCCTGTTTTAACTGTTATTGCCATCATAAGGATGCCCAAAGAATGCTTTTTCTTTTTCTTGAAAATCCAATAATTGTATTGGGATGTGGATCAGTACTGGCACTTCTGGGTTAGTTGTCTCAGATGTGGGGTTTATCTTTGCAACAGGAAGTTTCAGTGGCTGAACAGTCTTGCCCCAAGGATCTCTTGGACTTCCCAAGACCTTTAAAGGTCCATTCTCTAATGGGTGGAGAATCCAACTAAGTCCAACAGGGAAAGCTGGTGCAAATGAAAGAGATGGTCCAGATGAAAGAGAGAGAGAGGAGAGGGCAGAGTGGCGTGCAGAAGGCATGAGCTGCCTTAGAAAACAGCTAACGGGAGAGGCTGTCAGGAAGGTGTTGTTCAGTTGCTGAGTCATATCCAACTCTTTGCAACCCCATGGGCTGCAGCACACCAGGCTTCCTTGTCCTTTACTACCTCCCTGAGTTTGCTCAAACTCATGGCCATCGAGTCGGTGGTTCTACCCAACCATCTCACCCTCTGTCACCCCCTTCTCCTCCTGCCCTCAGTCTTTTCCAGCATCGGAGTCTTTCCCAATAAGTTGGCTCTTCACATCAGGTGGCCAAAATATTGGAGCTTCAGCTTCAGCATCAGTCCTCCCAATGAATAGTCAGGAAGTTAGAAAAGCTATATGGGAAAACTTATTTCCCCTAAATATGAGTAAGAGAAAAGGACTGTTGCCAAATCCTGTCCAAATTATTATAAGAAAACAAAGCAAACCCTCTATAGTCAATGAAGAAATCCCAGAAAGACATGCCCATACAAAACATACAAAAGATGAAAACTATGACCTACTACTTCCGGACAAGTGGAAAGAAATTTTAAAAATATAAAAACTATGAAAGGACAACATAAATAAAAATCAGAAAACCTTAGAAATGAGGTGATTGAAGAAATGGAAAATTTGAAGCAAGATGACAAAACACAGGAAACAAAAAGAAAAAATCAGATCATGCATGTGGAACATTTAGCTCAGTTCTGGGAAAATAGCAAGTGCTCAGTAAACAGATTAAAAGAGAATCATAATCCATGCTTCTGGCTTGCCAGCCTCTCCCAGCCTCTGTTAGTGTCCTCTTCTTTATAAATTGAAGTGTAGTTGATTTATAATATTGTCTTAGTTTCAGGTGTGCAGCAAAGTGATTGGGAATGTGAGAGTTTTCAGACTCTCTTCTGTTGTCAGTTATAAGATTTTGGGTAGATTTCCCTGTGCTGTACCACAGGACCTTGTTGTTTATCTATTTCATATATACTAACTGGACTGTAGCCCGCCAGGCTTGTCTATTCATGGGATTCTCCAGGCAAGAGTACTAGAGTGGGTTGCCATTTCATTCTTCAGGGGATCTTCCTGACCCAGGGATTGAACCCAGGTCTCCTGCATTGCAGGCTGATTCTTTACCGTCTGAGCCGCCAGGGGAGCCCTGTATACTATCTAGTATCTGTTAATCCCATGCTCCTAATTTATCCCTCCTTTCCCCTTTAGTCACCATAATTTTGTTTTCTATGTCTGTGAGCCTGTGTCTGTTTTGTAAATGAGTTGATCTGTATTATTTTGTTAGATTCCACATGTAAGTGATATCATATGGTGTTTTTCTCTGTCTGACTTCATTTAGTATGGTAATCTCTAGGTCCATCCACGTTGCTGCAATTGGCCATATTTCATTCTTCTTTATAGTTGAATAAAATTCCACTGTATACATGTACCACATCTCCTTTATCCATTCGTCTGTTGATGGATGCTGTAGTGCCACTATGAACATTGGGGTGTATGTATCTTCTTGAACTAGAGTTTCCATCTTTTCTGGATATATGCCCAGGAGTGGGTTTGTTGGATCATACGGTAGTCCTATTTTTAGTTTTTTGAAGAGTCTCCATAGTGGCTGAACCAGCTTACATTCCTACCAGCAGTGTAGGAGGGCTCCCTTTTCTCCACACCCTCTCCAGCACTTGCTGTTTGTAGACTTCTTGATGATGGCCGTTCTGACCTGTGTGAGGTGGTACCTCACTGTAGTTTTGGTTTGTGTTTCTCTGATAACTAGTGATGTCAAGCATCTTTTCAGTTTCCTGTAGGCCATCTGTGTCTTCTTCAGAGAAATGTCTATTTAGGTCGGGCCTCTTTACAGTTCTGAAGTTGCCGTGCACTCAACTAAATGCCACAGCTTGGACAGACTTGAATGCGATGACAGTTGTACTTCAGTCAGGATACAGAGGGTGTGCCAGAACTGGGCACTGGGCCATGGAATGCCTGACAGTGTATCAAGATAAGAAGTGAGAGTCTGAATGGAGGACTTTTCATTTCTAAGCAATGAAAATCCTGGGTGACAAGATCCAGGCAGCGCTAGCAGACAGGGTCATGGGGCATCTCTTCATTCCTCTGTCACGTCAACAACTCCACCCCACCCCACCCTATCCACACCCGCACCAGCCAGGTACAGCCAGGCTCAGCGCCTCCCACCACAGGCCCTGCGGGGGGGCACACACTGCTGCTGGTCCCACCCTCCACGGGCCAAACTGAAAGACTCTCAGGTTCACACTCTTTGGCTCTCAGCCTAGTGACTTTCAGACTATGCTGGGGAGCAAGATGGCAGAAACAGGAATCCCATGCTCTGGGGCATTTGTGTTGTTTCAGACACATTCCTGAAAACCGGTCATCAGCAGAGAGAACATATGGGCGGGGTGGGGGGGGAGTGGGCGGAGGCAGGAAGCTGAGGTTCCCCTCCCCAGGCTGAGCTTACTGAGAAATTGGAATGGCTCCTTCCCTAGGGAGAAGCAGCATTTCGGATGGTCTGGGTCCTTTCACAATGAACAGAATCCATGTAATTGTCTGCATAACTTCCCAATTACAAGGAGGCTGAGGGAAGCCAGAGTCCCTGCCAACCCACCCACAGGAAGGCTGTTGTTCTCATCAGGAGCAAAGCACCTTTTTCTGCCTCCTGATAGACACAGCAGGAAAGGATGCTCTGAGGCCAACAAGGAAGTGCTTCCAATTTCTTTCCCAAGATGCTGTGGTCAGGTCAGTGAACTGACAGATTGTTCCTCTTTGGTGGAAATGGCCTGTGCACTAAAACTGGGCTTAAGGAACTCATAGCAAGCGGATGTGGCCTGAGGGTTTTAAAAAATCATTTTTTCCTCATTAGAAAATTTAGAAATGTTCACTGTGGAAAAATGGAAGATTGTTAAAAAAAATGCTTTTGAACTGTGGTGCTGGAGAAGACTCTTGAGAGTCCCTTGGACAGCAAGGAGCTCAAACCAGTCAATCCTAAGGAAATCAACCCTGAATATTCATTGGAAGGACTGATGCTGAAGCTCCAGTGCTTTGGCAACCCTGTGGGAAGAGCCGACTCATTGGAAAAAACCCTGATGCTGGGAAAGGAGGAGAAGGGGGTAACAGAGAATGAGATGGTTGGATGGCATCACCGACTCAAAGGACATGAGTCTGAGCAAACTCTGGGAGATAGTAAAGGACAAGGAAGCCTGGCATTCTGCAGCCTACAGGGTCGCAAAGAGTTGGACATGACTTATCAACTGAACAACAACAAATAAAATAATTGTCAGTAAACAAAGAAAAATTACCCATAATCTACCACACAGAGAAAAATCTATTAAAGCCTATTAAACCTACTATATATTTATTTTATTTTATGGCTGCTCTGTGTAGCTTGCAGGATCTTAGTTTCCTAATCAGGAATTGAACCTGGACCCTCAGCAGTGAAAGCACAGAATCTTAACCACTGGACTGCCAGGGAATTCACTAAGCCTATTAAATTGTTGAACACGTTTAATATATCTCTCCGATAGCTCAGTTGGTAAAGAATCCGCCTGCAATGCAGGAGGCCCTGATTCAATTCCTGGGTCAGGAAAATCCCCTGGAGAAGGGATAGGCTACCCACTCCAATATTCTTGGGCTTCCCTTATGGTTCAGCTGGTAAAGAATCTGCCTGCGATGCAGGAGACCTGGGTTTGATCCCTGGGTTGGGAAGATCCCCCGGAGAAGGGAAAGGTTACTGACTCCATTATTCTGGCCTGGAGAATTCCATGGACTGTATAGTCCATGGGGTCACAAAGAGCTGGACATGACTGAGTTTCACTTTCACTTTCATACATTTTTCACAGGACTGTTGTGTGTATAAACAAGGAACGTTTTCCTTTTCAGGAAAAGGAAAAATTAAGTGTCAAGGTTAACTCCTCCCTATTCCCACAGGGTGAGAATTTGGAAAGAGTTATTTTTCTCCATCTCTGACCATTCTTATGGGCCATCTCTCCGTCTTATAATGCCTTGAATTGAGTTCCTGTCCAAAGAGGGTTCTACCTGGGCACTGGCTGATAGGGGCGGAGATGAGAAGCAGTTAACTCTCCTCAAAGGCTGTGCGGGCCCAGGACAGCGCTGGTTCCTTCCGCCCGGCTGCAGGGTCTACACTGCAGATTATAAAACGGCGGCCCTGGGTGGAACCGGGCTGAAAGATGGGCTACTCTCACAGGCAGAGCTCCAGGTAGGCACAGTGTGTGCCAGGGTCAGTGGCTTATTGCATGCTTGGCAGGCTACATCTCAGCCCCACTGGCTCCCTCCCAGCTCTTGTTCTTGCTGGAAGGGGCCAAGGCAAGGGCAGAGTGGGGTGGGGAGTGGTCACAAGCTGGAGTCATCGTGTCATGAAAAGAAAGTGACCCCAGCTTTGTGTTTTGTTTTAGAATGAGAACTCATGCCTATATCTGAAATTTATTTGTTTTCCTAGATATCAGTGAATGCTCCAGCCAGCCTTGTGAGAATGGTGGCACGTGTGTGGAAGGTGTCAACCAGTACAAATGCATTTGTCCTCCTGGAAGGACTGGGAGCCGCTGTCAGCATCAGGCCCAGACTGGTATGTAGCAGGTATAGGGCCAGGGAGGACAGTCTGTTATCGAGAAGGGAGGACCCTAGTCACAGGTCACCAAAGGCAGACCAGTGGGATGTTCTCTCTGGTTTACATCATAGATCCCTCTGGTTCCCTGAGATGGTTATTTGGGATGGCGCTTAGTTAACTTGTGGAACCAGAGTTTTGGTCCTTCCCAGGTGGCTCAGTGGTAAAGAATCTACCTGCTAATGCAGGAGAAGTGGGTTCAATCCCTGAGTTGGGAAGAGCCCCTGGAGGAGGAAATGGCAACCCACTCCAGTGTTCTTGCCTGGAGAATTCCATGGACAGAAGAGCTGGTGGGCTACAGTCCTTGAGGATGCAAAGAGTCACACATGACTGAGCACACACACACACACAGAAGAAGATGAAAGTGGAAGGACTGAGTCCCACCCTAAAACCCTCCAGATTTGGAACTTGGCCTGAGAAGCAAGGAAGCTTCACTTGGTTGACTTTCCCCTGCACATCAGCAGAACAGCTCCTCCTGCAAATGCTTCCTGCAAAGTTCATAGTTACTGATATAGTATTTTCAGAGCTGGGTAAACTAGATGTTTGACCGGTGACGAGGTTATGGTCGACATTTGAGTCCCAGCATTTCTGTAGCCAGAGGTCTAGGTGCCACATGGTGGCTGTTTTTGCAGGGGCAAAGAAGATCTAATGATAAGGAGTCTGTGGGACATGGGGGGTGGTGCCATGCTATGCTGCAACCATCTTTTTGTTTTTGGCTTCCCCCATGTTTAGCTTGTAGGATCTTACTTCCCCGACCAAGGATTGAATTGAACCCATGCCCACGGCAGTGAAAGCTGAGTCCTAACCATTGGACCACCAGGGGTTTCCCTGAGCCAACATTTCTCATATAAGAAAGTCAAACCCTAAAGATGTCCTGTTCCTCTGCCAGGAAAGCCTGGGGTGTCTGTGTGGTTGTCTTCTGAGTGGAATCTCAGTATAGGGGGAGGAATTGGTGGTTAGCAGAGAACAAGCTTTGTCAATACTTGATATCTTTCCATTGGACCCAGCTCAAGGTCCAGTTTAAGTTTTGTCCCCAGAGATTTGCTGCTTAATGTGTCTTGATTCCGTTTAGCTGAGTCACCCTTCTGGGTGCTTTCTCAGGGAGAGCCTGAGGTCCCCTGACAGTGCCTGTCCCTGGAGTTGCCCTACGTGGAAACAGCCCCACTCCTCCTACTCCTTAGTACCAGGAAGGAGAAAGAAATAGCTACATTTCAGCCCAACTGTGCTGATCCTGGACACTGGAGCTAAGCCCTACCTGTCTGGGCGTCCACTGTTGGAACCTTCAGGCTCCAGGGCACAGATCCTCAGGCTCCTGGATCCTCAGGTCCAGGGCACAGTTAATATAGAAATTATTCCCAGGACAGGAATCTCTGCGAGGAAGTGGAAGGAGGGAACGAGCAGGCGCATCTGAAGCTAGTTTATGTCCTCACAGGATCCCCGTGAACAATGTGAGCAACAGCCCAGCACACCCCTGTCTTTTTGCTCACCTGGTCTCCCAGCCTACAACCTTCCTTCTCATCAGCTCTGTCCCTGTCTTTCTGGCTCCCAGGGGGAGCCTCTGTTTGATTACTTAAAAAAAAAACAAAACACATTCACTGTTTTTGTTCACATTGTAAAATATATATAACAAAATTTACCATTTTAAGTGTGTGGTTCAATGGCATTAACTATGTTCACCATGACCACCATCTACCTCTAGAACTTTTTTCACCTTGCAAAATTGAAACTCTGTGTCCATGAAACAACTTCTTCCCATCTCCCCAGCAATCATTCTGTTCTCTGTCTGGATGAATTTGATGGCTCCAGTGGGATGACTAAGTGTCCTCTTGTGCATCAGATAACATTTACACCAATCCCTCTAACCATGGAGAGTCCGAAATCCTTTGAAAGCTTTCAAAAATTAACATTTTTTTTTTTTTACTGATTAGAACATTGATTTATATTCTTGGTTGAAACAAAAACCTTCAACACTTTAGGAAAATATTTTTAAAATACAAAAAAAGAACCCAGGAAAAAAGGTAGTGTTTTTAGCTATGTAGATTTTTTTTTTTTTGAATTTTTACTTTTTAGCCATGCCATGCAGCGTGGTTTCAAACCTGCAGCCTCTGCATGGGAAGTATAGAGTCTTAACCACTGGACTGACAGGGGAGTCTCTCCAGAGATTTTTAAAAAGTGTTTTAAAATTAATATTTATTGGGGTATAGTTGATTTAGTTTCTGCTCTACAGCAGAGTGAATCAAGTATACATATACATATATCCACTCTTTTTTAGATTCTTTTCTAAAATATATATATTATATGGATTGACATGTTTGCTCAGTGGTGTCTGACTCTTTGTGACCCCATGGACTGCAGTCTGCCAGGCTCCTCCATCCATGGGATTTTCCAGGGAAAAATACTGGAGAGGGTTGCCATTTCCTTCTCCAGGGGATCTTCCCAACCCAGGGAATGAACTTGGGTCTCCTGCACTGCAGGCAGACTCTTTACTCTCTGAGCCACCGGAGAAGCCCAATATAATTTATATATATATAATTATAATTTAAATTATTATAATATATATATATAATATATAATTTATATATATAGTTGTTGATGTTATTGCTTAGTCACTCAGTTGTGTCCAACTCTTTTGCAGCCCCACGGACTGTAGCCCGCCAGGCTCCTCTGTCTATGGAATTCTCCAGGCGAGAATCCTTCTCCAGGGGATTTTCCTGACCCTGGGATTGAACCCATATCTCTTGCATTGGCAGGTGGATTCTTTACCACTGAGCCAGCGGGAAACATACATGTACACATACACATGTAACTACTATATAGTAGCGTAGGGTGAACAGTCAATCCCATTCTCCCAGTTTGTCCCTCCCCTCCTGACCCCTTGGTAAGCAGCATACATTTGTTTCCTGCAGCTGTGACTCTATTTCTGTCTTGTGAACAGGTTCACTTGTACCTACCATTGGTTTTAGGCTCCACAAATGAGTGAGATCATATGATGTCTGTCTTTGATCTCACTCAGAATGACAATCTCTAGGGCCATCCATGTGGCTAGCTGCAAGTGGCATTATTTCGATAAACTCCATAGATTTAAACTCCAGTGGTCACTGGTAGGGTCCTGGTGCTTTAAGCCTTTGAAGGTGAAACGCGGATTTCACCTCACTGTGGTCCTCTGGGTGCAGTTGTGTCGCGTATCGTTCTTTTCCGGCGCCTCCCCTTGTCTTCTGCCCTTTTGGTGTGGGCGCTGTATCACCGGCTGAGTTTCGGTTAATCCTGTGTCTTTCCTCTCCCTACTCCAGAGGAAGCTCTGAGAAGGGGCCGCGCCCCGATCTCGGGACCCCCCTCCCCCCCAAGGTCAGGCCCAGGTGCGCCAGGCCCGGCCCTGAGGATGTCTTCTCCCCGCAGCAGCCCCCGAGGGCAGCGAGGCCGCGGACACCGCCTTCAGCCGCGCGCCGCGATGCGCGCAGGTGGAGCGGACGCAGCACTGCAGCTGCGAAGCCGGATTCCACCTGAGCGGCGCGGCCGCCGACAGCGTCTGCCAGGGTAGGCGCGGGCTCGTTCCTGGGAGGGGACGCGGGGGTCGTGGGGAGAGGGTCTCCTACTTGCCGCCCTCCCGGGGGTGCGCCCGCGCCCAGGTGTAGGTGCGAGTGGGCGGATGGCTTCCTGGGCGTGGTCTCAGACAGCCCCGCACCTTGCTGCTTAGGTAAGTGGGTGTGGACCTGATGGCTGCTAGGACACAGCTAACGCGGAGACCTTGGGGGCGGTTCTAAGAAAATCAGACTAGAGAAAGCATTCAGGGGTCCCCGGTCTACCCCTAGTCTTGCGCACTCGTCTAGAAGAGGCGCTCCCTCCCGGCTAGGATTGCAAGGCAGGTGGCAGGGCGGAGCTAGAATGACAGCCCTTGACCGTACCAGTCCCTGTCCCCAGAGCTGTGCAGGGGCTTGGGCTCATTCTCTGGGCCCCTCTCTGCTTCGTCTTACTGACTGGCCCACTTCCTGATTATGAGACTTCCATCTGAAAACGACTCAAACCAGCGGTTCCAACCTAAGAGTTGCCTAGTTGTTGCTAACGGCCTCATTTTACAGCCACAGAAGCCGTCTTGCACCGGTTCCCAAAAATGAGACGGATTAAGGCGGGGCGGGGAACCAGGGCGGAAGTCTGGGTCCGCCGCCCCACGCTTTGCTTCCTGGGGAGCAAGGTACTTGCCAGGTTGGACTTGGCAGCCTCATAGGGTCTGCCCAGGCAGTCATCAGTCTTAGAGGAGCGACCGTGGGTCCCCGTATCAGCTCGCTCACCTCCTTCCTTCGGCCCTCCAGGCCCTTGGCTTGGGAGAACGGGGAGCACTCCTGCTGCTCTTCCGAGTCCTCTGCAGGGGATCGGGCTTGGCGGCCACGGAAGACCCCACCCGTTAGCCACAGTTGCCAGCGATGGTGACACAGCAGCCAGCCTGGGTCACGGCTGGGGGCCGCCCACTGGTGGCTCCTGGAGTCATACTGGGCACTTCTGTCCCCAGATGTGAACGAATGCGAGCTCTATGGACAGGAGGGGCGCCCCCGGCTCTGCATGCACGCCTGCGTGAACACCCCCGGCTCCTACCGCTGTGTCTGCCCCAGTGGATACCGGACTCTGGCTGATGGAAAGAGCTGTGAGGGTGAGTGAGGCTGCTGCAGAGGAAGGTGGTCCCAGACCGTGGCTCGGAACTACCGGGGGAGGAGGGGAGGACAGAGGGCTCGTCTGCGGACTGACATGCAATCCAAGCGAAAAGGGAGACGCCCAGTGACGTCCTAGTGGGGCTCCATGGCTGGGCTCAGAGGAGTGGGTAACCTGGGACTAGAGAAAGAAGGCATCCAGATAGCCATCATTCTTCCATGGTCTACCCATTCATCATTCATTCATCCATCATCCATCCATCCATCATCCGTCCATCTATCCATCATCTCTCCACCTTTCCTTCTATCCTACGATAGAAGGCCCCTGTAGGATTGTGTAGGGTTTGAAAAGAAACCTAGCCTCCAGGCCAGGAGCTCATTGAATATGTAAAGAACAGAGAACATATAAAGGGCATGACATTAGCCATGGAGGGCAGATTCCGTGTCTCGCTAACTGAGGGGGAGGCAGGTTGAGAGAAGTGTTGTGACCAGTGACACTCATTCATGCCCTCCGGCACCTCTGTAACCTGTCATGTCCGGAGGGGGAGGACGGGATCTGCCATCAGACCTGGATTTCTAATAGTTAAGAACAACCGGACTTCCAGTTACAAGAACCAGCGTTGGACATTTTGGAAAGTTCACTGCGTGTGGAGCACCTTTTGCGGTGCCTGCTGTTGCCATTCACGTGGGCCCATCAGTGATGGAGGGGTGGCAGGAGATCTTCTTCCTCACTGGGTGCCCACTATTTCTTCTTTTTTTTACATCCATGGATTTTATTTTATTTTTAATTTTTATTGGAGTTTAGTTACTTTAATAACATTGTAAAGCAAATAAACTCCAATAAAAATTAAAAATAATGTTATGTTAGTTTCTCCTGTACAGCACAGTGGTTTAGTTATACATATATGTCTAAAAGCTGACTTGAAACTCAACATCCAAAAAACTAGGATCACGGCCTCCTGTCCCATCACTTCATGGCAAATAGAAGAAGAAAAAGGGGAAACAATGGCAAGTTTATTTTCTAGGGCTCCAAAATCACTGCGGATGGTGACCACAGCCATGAAATTAAAAGACACTTGCTTCTTGGAAAAAAACCTATGACAAACCTAGACACTATATCAAAAAGCAGAGACATCACTTTGCAGACAAAGGTTCGGAGAGTCAAAGCTATGGTTTTTCCAGTGGTCATGTACAGATGTGAGAGTGGAACCATAAAGAAGGTTGAGTGGCAAAGAATTGATGTTTTCCAACTGTGATGTTAGAGAAGACACTTGAGAGTCCTTTAGACTGCAAGGAGATCAAACCAGTCAATCCTAAAGGAAACCAACCCTGAATATTCATTGGAAGGACTGATGCTGAAGCTGAAGCTCCAATACTTTGGCCACCTGATGCAAAGAGCTGAGTCGTTGGAAAAGACCCTGAAGCTGGGAAAGACTGAAGGCAGGAGGAGAAGGGGGCGACAGAGGATGAGATGGTGGATGGCATCACAAACTCAATGGACATGGGTTTGAGCAAGCTCAGGGAGTAGTGAAGAACAGGGAAGCCTGGCGTGCTGCAGTCCGTGGGGTCACAAAGAGACATGACTTGGTGACTGAAGAGCAGCTCTTTTTTGGATTATTTCCCTGGGTAGATCATGACCGAGTATTGAGTAGAGCGCCCTGTGCTGTGCAGAAGGCTCTCACTAGTTGTCTGCTGTATAGACAGGATTGTGCATATGTTGATCCCAGGCTCCCATTTACCCCGCCCTGCCCTCATCTGGTATTTCAGATGTTGATGAATGTGTGAGCCCACAGCCTGTGTGCCCCCGGGGGACTGTGTGCATCAACACGGGCGGAGGCTTCCAGTGCGTCAGCCCGGAGTGCCCCGAGGGCAGCAGCAACGTGAGCTATGTGAAGACATCTCCGTTGTGAGTATGACTAGGGCCACCCTCAGCTGAGTGCCTTCATCCTTCACCCAGGCCTCCCCAGGGTTGGGCTGCATTCTTCCTAGATGTTCTCGGGAGAAGGTACAGGTATGTCTGATGAAAGGCACGGTGCTGTGTCTGGCTTCTTGGAGCTTCCATCTCTTTCCTTTTAGGGTTTGCATTGAATGTGATGCTGCCCTGGGTAGTAGGAATGATGCTCCTGAGTGCTCGCCTGAGGACAGGGAGGCCACTGGGGGGAAGAGGGCAGTGGTGAGGCTGCCAGGAGGTATGTATGGTACACAGATTTGGAAGAGGATCATTTCCTGTGTTCACAGGGTACCTGTACACTTTGCATTATATCTCTCTTCTTTTCTGCTGCTATTAGGGGTTTTGATTTCTAGTAACCTCAGCCCCTCACAGACTTTTTCTTTTTTCTTCAAAAGGTGAAGACAGGCTTTTAAAGAGAATAACTGCAACTATCACAAAGACATGTATTTTCTCTGAGAGAGAGATCACAAGGGCCTTAGCATTGTCTTTAGAACGCACTGACCCAGTGAAGCAGCTCCTCGAATAGCTGTGGGGGTTACAGCAGGTTAGAAGCATCAAGAAAGTCGGTGGCAGTTACTCACCGACAGTGAAGACACCAGGGTCTTCCTCCAGTGTCACATAGTGAAGGGAGGAGGGGCCCGTGTGTCAGGCCTTGGCAGACCTCCCTGATGAACAGCAGAAGTGCTGTTTGACCTCCTTAATGGGGGTGATCTGAGTCAGCAGAATCGCTAAATTGCATCTCTCTCGTGTTGAATGGCACTAGTGGTAAAGAACCCACCTGCCAATGCAGGAGACTTAAGAGACATGGGCTCGATCCCTGGGTCTGGAAGATCCCCTGGAGGAGGGCATGACAACTCACTCCAGTATTCCTGCCTGCAGAATTCCATGGACAGAGGAGCCTGGCAGGCTACAGTCCCCGGGGTCGCCAAGAGTCAGACACAACTGAATCACCTTAGCACTCACACTTGTGTTGAATGAGGTGAAGAGAAAAACACAAAAACCAACAACTATCAAAGCACTTTCACAGGACCTTGATTCTACATACCTAAGGAAGGCAGAGTGTCCTGCTTAAGAATGAACCCTGGGAGAATTCCCTGTTGGTTCAGCAGTTTGGACTCAGCGCTTTCCCAGCTGTGGCCCGGATTCAATCCCTGGTGGGGGAAGCTAAGATCCCTTAAGCCATGGGACACTGTCAAAAAGAAAGAAAGAACAGTGGGTGTTTAGTAAGCTCACCACATGTGGAGAACCACACTCCAGGATGTCACCAGCTAACTGCTGGGGTCTCAGCACGTTAGAAGGGGCACCTGGTTTGAATGCTAGCACCATCATTATTGAATCTTCCCCGGCTTTATTTTTCTACAGAAACGGTGAAAGAAAAAGGGCTTCCCTGGTGGCTCAGACGGTAAAGAATCTGCCTGCAATGCAGGAGATCTGAGTTCGATCCCTGGGTTGGGAAGATCCCTTGGAGAATGGAGTGGCTACCCACTCCAGTTCTGGCTTGGAGAATTTCATGGACAGAGGAGCCTGGCAGGCTACAGTCCAGAGGGTTGCAGAGAGTCGGGAACAGTAGTAATAGCATATACTAGTAGCAATAGCATATTATAGTAGTAATATCATAGTATGTAAATGGTAGTAATAGCATATACTAATAGTAATAGCATATTATAGTAGTAATAGCATAGTATGTAAATGGTAGTAATAGCATATATAAACATACATGCACACCCAGACATACATGGACAGCTGGGTCAGGGAAGCACCTTTTCCTGGCCTGATACCAGCCACGATCACTGGCCTGTGGTTCTGGAGCGCCTAGGTCAAGGAACACATGGCTGGAGGGGTCACTCTGGTGCCTCTTTAGGAAGGCAGGTGGGACAGACCAGCCTGGTCAGAGCAGCCACTGCTGATTTTCCCCAAGGCTGAGCATCCCCTATGTTTTGCCTCTCTGTTCCAGCCAGTGTGAACGGAACCCCTGCCCCATGGACAGCAGGCCCTGCCGCCACATGCCCAAGACAATCTCCTTCCACTACCTGTCTCTGCCCTCCAACCTAAAGACGCCCATCACGCTCTTCCGCATGGCCACAGCCTCCGCCCCTGGTCGGCCAGGGCCCAACAGCCTGCGCTTCGGGATCGTGGGTGGTAACAGCCGCGGCCACTTCGTGATGCAGCGCTCAGACCGCCAGACTGGGGAGCTGATTCTGGTCCAGACCTTGGAGGGGCCTCAGACGCTGGAGGTGGATGTCGACATGTCCGAATACCTGGACCGCTCTTTCCAGGCCAGCCACGTGTCCAAGGTCACCATCTTTGTGTCCCCTTATGACTTCTGAGGGGGTCCTGGGGTCACGGGGTGTAGGAGCCTGGGCTTGTTTCTCTTCCGCAGATTCATAGCTGCGGGCTTGGCTGCAGCAGACATGTCTCCCCACCTACCTGTCCCCGTGGCTTCCCAGGGCAGCACCGCACGCTGTCCCATGATGCTGAAGTGCAAACCCAAAGCCCAAACTATTGCCATCATATGTTTTTCTGCTTTAAGGCCTCCCATTAGATGATGCACTTTCTCAAATCTTTGTTTTCTTTTTAACAGGGGAATGGGCAGCTTGTCAAAATGCTGCATGAGTGGCATTGTGAGTTTGAATTAGCTGGGGAGGGAGGAGCTTATGGCCTGGGTCTGAGATGATGGTCCAGCCTTCTGTGTTGTTAGAGTTAGGCCTCATTATTGCAGGGGTTCCGGACATGCTGAGGGTGAATTATGCCCCTGTACTTGTGGCGTGGGGGCGGGTTCCTGCCACGACTCGGCACGTCCTTCTGTCTGCACTTCCCTTTGTGTCCCATGGCTGGCCTTCTCACCAGAGAGTCCCGTCAGGGCCTGGACCCCCACGCAGATTCTTCCGGACCAAGGAGCCAGAGTTTATGTGCATATTCTGCCTGAATGAATTCCCTTTTGAGAAACCATATCTCAAAACATAACCTGGTATTATAACTGAAAAAATAAAATCTGTTGCTCGTCCCTGTCCATCTGGCCTCTCCCTGACCATGCGCTAGCCCAGTTCTTCCCAGTTCTACCCAGTCCTCTCCTGTCTAGGCTGGAATAAACTGGGATAAACAAATGACAAAGAAAACACAGAAGTGATGTAGGATTGCTCCATCAATAGGAATTTGGCTTGGCTATGTGGGAGATTGGTAAGGCAACATCTGCCCATGGAGAGTTTAAGAAAACACTTGAGTCGCCGTTGGGTCCCGGCTTCCCTGGTTGCTCAGCTGGGAAAAAATCTGCTGGCCAGTGAGACAAAAGAGACACGGGTTCCATCCCTAGGTTGGGAAGATCCCCTGGAGAAGGAAACCAGTATTCTCGCCTGGAGAATCTCATAGACAGAGGAGACTGGTGGTCTACAGTCCCTGGGGTCACAGAGTTGGACACGACTGAGTGCACACGCATTGCAAACCATTGATTCCAGGGCCTTCTACTCCTGATGGAGGAGCCCAGTGGTGATGACACCCTCCAGTGACTGAGTTTCGAACACTCTCTCTGGTGCTGGGAGTTGGGGGGCGGGGGGTGGGTGACAGTTCAAAAGACAGCTTAGATGCTAGCTGAGTCATCGGGAAATCGCATTCATCCAGCTGAGATTTCATCTCAGGTGTCCTATTGGAAAACGCTTTGTATTGCCCTTGCTGTGAGGTGACGCCTGACGGAGTGTGTTGCCCGTTTAGTGATCAAGCCCTTCACCAAGGTGGCTCCTAGGACGCCTCTCTGTACTACATCAGAGAGTGAAACAGTCAAGAGTTCCTTCTGACTCCTGTGATTTCTCCAGCAACAGAACTTAGGGCCTGCAAACCTGCTTCCCTGTGTTGTTACAGGTCATTATTAAACCTGTCATCCAAGTGGGAGGGGGTTTAGGGGAGGATGAATACATATATACATATGGCTGAGTCCCTTCACTGTTCACCTGGAACTATCACAGCATTGTTAATTGGCTATACCCCAATAGAAAATAAAAAGTTCAAAAGAAAAAAAGCCCTATCATTCCAGGAAAAAGAAAAAAAAAAGAGTACTCCTCTGGTGGTCCAGTGACTAAGGCTCCACACTTCCAATGCAGGGAGCATGGGTTCCGTCCCTGGTTGGGGAACTAAGATTCCATGTGCCATGTGGCCAAAATATAAAAAGATTAAAAAAGAAAAAGAAAACTGTCATCCATGGTTTTGTGTCTCCAAATAGTGCTGTGATGGGTCAGACACGTACCTGTCACCCAGTCCCTAGGACACCAGGTGGGAGGGACCAAGGTGTGGCCATGCTCCTGAAGGTACAATGTGACGGGTGTGTGGACCTCCCTTCTTGCTGGGGGAGGATGAGTGGTGCCAAAGGACAAGCTTCTTACCTCCCAGCAGGTAAGGAGTGATTTGGGGGACTACAGAGCAGATGCCCTCCCTAACTTGTGTAGGATGATGACACAGGCCAGATCTAAGCCAAAAATTTCCTTCATCACAATCCACCATCATCAGACCTGTTTCCCATTTATGAAGTGCCATGCTGAGCCCCAGCACCTACCTATTAATGCCTGCCTGCACCCACTGTCTTGTGAATTATGCCTGGACCTTCCTCCCTGGGTGACATCCTGCTCTTCACCTCCCTCAACTTTCCCCTATGGAAACCAATTTCTCCCTTGCCCATTCATTGCTCCAACCTGTGCTAGGTCAGAATAGCTAGGAGGCTTCCCTGGTGGCTCAGATGGCCAAAATCTGCCTGCAACGTAGGAGACCTGGGTTCGATCCCTGGGTGGGGATGGTCCCCCCGGAGAAAGAAATGGCAACCCACTCCAGTATTCTTGCCTGGGAAATCCTATGGACAGAGGACTGTGGCGGGCTACAGTCCATGGGGTCACAAAGAGTTGGACATGACTAAGTGACTAACCTAACAACAGGTATTAATTTGCAGCCCTTTTCACATACTATAGTAATACAGTTTCATATTATTTGACTGGGGGCTTCTAAAACTTTTTATTAGACACCATTGCAAACATAGACAAAAGTACAGATAATAGAATAAACTCCATGTCCAAATCAGCAGCTTCAACAATAGTCTCACAGCCAATCTTGTTTCATCTCTGCTCTCACCCCATGTCATGACAATTTTGAAGTGGATCATGGACTTCACATTTCATCAGTAAATATTTCAGCATGTGTATCTAAATGTTCTTATGTATAACCATAAGAACTTAAAAAAAACCCATGACCTGGATCACAATCCAATCTAAAAAATCAGCAATAATTCCATAACACCTTTAATATTTAGTCATTGTTCACGTTTCTGAGTGGCTCATCATATTTTTTGTTTGTTTGTTTGAATTAGGTCCATTCTCTATAATTTGCTGGTTAACTTCTTAACTCTCTAATCCATAGCAGTGGTTCTCAAACTTTAGCATGTATTGGAATAACTTGGAATCTTGTTAAAAGACAGAGAGAGCACTGAGGCTTCCCTGGTGGCTCAGTGGTAAAGAATCCACCTCCAGTGTAGAAGATACAGGTTTGATCCCTGGTCCAGGAAGATGCCACATGCCTCAGACCAACTAAGTCCATGAGTCACAACTATTGAGCCTGCGCTCTAGAGCCCAGGAGCCACAGCGACTGAGACTGCATGCTGCAGCTGCTGAAGCACACCCACAGCCCGCGCTGCACCCAAGAAGCCACGTGCGGTGAGGAGCCCGTGTGCTGCAACGAGGAGGAGCTCCCACGCACTGCAATTCGAGAAGAGCCAGTGCCGCAACGAGGACACAGCACGGCCAAAAACAAGTAACAACTCCAAAAACCCCTGTTGTATTAAAAACAAACCAACAAACCCAGGGTACTGGGTCCTCTGTCCCGAGCATTCCTCACGGTCTAGGTTTTCTTGAGTGTGTCTCTGCAGCTTCTTTTAACATGGCCCTCTGTCCTCTCTTCCCTGCTGGCTCAGACAGTGAAGAATCTGCTTCCAGTGCAGGAGACCTGGGTTCAATCCCTGAGTTGGGAAGGTCCCCTGGAGAAGGGAATGACTACTGACTTCAGTATTCTTGGCTGGAGAATCCCCTGGACAGACGAGCCTGGTGCGCTACAGTCCATGGGGTTGCGAAGAGTCAGATATGACTGAGTGACTTACACTTTGACTTTTCTGTCCTCTCCATTTTTTATATGTCAGTAGTTATAGCTAGAAATTCAGTTAAGAGTGCAGTTAGGTTTATTGTCCCAGGACTGCTCTATTGGTGATGACAGGTGTTTCCAGTGGGAGCTGTATTATCTCTGGTTGCCTCTCTTTTCTGATGTCAGCAGCTCTGGATGATTATTGCATAGATTCACTACTTCCTTAGGAGTTGCAAATAATATTCTAGTGCTATTGTTCCTTCGTTTATTAGTGGCATACCTTCTAAGGAGAAACTTCCTTTCTTTGGTTATTTGGCTACCCTGAGGCTTGGTTTGTACAGGAAAGATTGGATAGAATTTTCTTAATTTTTTTTTCCCCTTTTCTTTTTCTTCCTTTTTTATTTGGCTGCACCTCAAGGCATGCAGAACTTCCCCAACCAGGAATCGAGCCTGCGTCCCCTGCAGTGGAAGCAGAGTCTTAAACGCTGGACCACCAGGGAAGCCCAAAACGATGAATTTTTGACTTTTCCCCACTTGTCAGTTTCCAAAGTGGTTCCCTGGCATCTTTCTAAGCTTTCCAGTGAGTGTTGTTTTCTTATTGGCTACATTATGAACTCATGGCTTAGACATATTTGACATATGCTTCAATCTATAGATGTTATTATCTTTACTGTCACTCAAATTGTCCCATTTGGCTTTTGGGAACTACTTCAAGTTGACTAATTCTTTTTGACATGACTCTACTGGTCTAATCCACTCCAGTATTCTTGCCTGGAGAATCGCATGGACAGAGGAGCCTAGCGGGCTACAGTCCATGGGATCACAGAGTCAGACATGACTGAAGGACTAACACACATACTGGTCTTTGGTAATTTTGTAGTTATCTTGCATGACAAGATGTTTCAAGCTTGTCTCATTTATTTTATGCTCCAGCCTGAAGTCATTCATTTCCCCTCCCATCCCCGCCAAGGGATCCATCCATGTTCTTTCAGTGGGGCATGGTCATTAGATCAAAATCTGAGTATAAGGAGAGCTCATTGGTAGTGGTTTAGTCATTGTTTCTTGGTTTTAGTGAATAGAGCTGAGAAATAGGTACTATCCATTTTTTTAAAGAAGAAACTCTACATTAGTTTATACTGATACTTCCAATTCAACTCAAGACTGCAGGGTTTTTAATGTAGCTTCGTTGATCTTACATCTGCTCTTCTTTCTGTCATTCTGA